ATTTGGAGGTCCAATAGCTTACCACAGATCACTTCTACGGCAATGACAGGAGTCACTTCTATACAGTGGAACGTTCTACTACAGACGAGCTCCCCATATGCAACCACGAAGAACGTTCAACCATCCCCGTCTAGGACAGTAAGATGTCCAGTATGAAGGGAACGGCCATCTCTACAATACAACCTCCCCGGTCACACACTCTGCACCCGAGCCCTACGAGTACACACCTGCGCCATCTGGGACGGAAGCGGCGAGGGGGAGGCCTCTGCTGGTCATCTCCTCCAGGCCGAACTTCTGAAGGCGCCGGATCTTTATTCTCTCCATCCTAGAACGGAGACAAGACCCAATGCTTGGTACCGCAAACTGTCCAACCGTAACCAGGACTCACAGTATTCTCCGCCCCCTCCAAAGTCAGAAGACCCAACGTGACTCCTAATACTCTGCACCCTTCACAGACCCAACGTGACTCCTAATACTCTGCACCCTTCACAGACCGAAGACCCAACGTGACTCCTAATACTCTGCACCCTTCACAGAAGACCCAACGTGTGACTCCTAATACTCTGCACCCTTCACAGACCCAACGTGTGACTCCTAATACTATGCACCCTTCACAGACCGAAGACCCAACGTGTGACTCCTAATACTCTGCACCCTTCACAGACCCAACGTGTGACTCCTAATACTCTGCACCCTTCACAGACCCCACGTGACTCCTAATACTCTGCACCCTTCACAGACCGAAGACCCAACGTGACTCAATACTCTGCACCCTTCACAGAAGACCCTACGTGTGACTTCTAATACTCTGCACCCTTCACAGAAGACCCTACGTGTGACTCCTAATACTCTGCACCCTTCACAGACCCAACGTGTGACTCCTAATACTCTGCACCCTTCACAGACCCAACGTGCAACTCCTAATACTATGCACCCTCCAAAGTCAGAAGACCCAACGTGACTCCCATTACTCTGCACCCTTCACAGACCCAACATGTGACTCCTAATACTATGCACCCTTCACAGACCCAACGTGTGACTCTTAATACTATGGACCCTCCAAAGTCAGAAGACCCAACGTGTGACTCCTAATACTCTGCACCCTTCACAGACCGAAGACCCAACATGTGACTCCTAATACTCTGCACCCTTCACAGAAGACCCAACGTGCTGCTCCGAAAATACCCCACAACCTCCAGACAGAAGGATCCCAACGTGCGACTCCCAATATTCTCCACAGACAGAAGACCCAATGTGCAAGACTCTGAAAATACTGTGCACCCGACAGGCAGGAGACCCGTGTGAACCCCATCATGCACCCTCCACAGACCCATGTGAACCCCATTATACCCTACACAGGAAGACCCCATCAGCTGACCCCTAACATTCTATGCCTGAGAAAAGACCGCATACCCAGTGTGTGGCTTCATATTCATTGCACCATACACAGATAGGAGCCCCAACATGTGACCCCCCCCAAGGTGTGACCCCCCCAGTCACCAGTAGGATCAGCCTCTGCTTTGGGTAGTGAGCAATGTGCCCAATCAGACGCTGCCTGGAGCTATTTCTGAGCTCTGGGAAGGAATACGGACATTGTGACCTCAACATGGGAGACCTCTGACCTCAGAGGCCTGCTGCTGAGAAGGCGGCCTGGAGCCTCTGCCAAAGCGACGTCTGAAGAAGAAAGGAGGCGGGCGTCTACGTGGTGGTTGTTCCTGAGGGGACGCGCCCTCCGCCCTCTCCCCCTCGCTCAGGGGCTCCGAGTTCCCACCTTCTCCACCAGACCCGGCCACGTCCGCTCTTGGCCGAAAAGGACGCCTACGAAACCTGCGTCTGTTGGGGGCAAATCTGCTGCCCTTCACCGGAACACCGCCCGGGCCGGTCACATTGGCGGCTTCAGCACCCTGAATAGAGATGATGATTAGCATGTTGCCTCATCACACGCTTAGAAACTAGAGTGAGGACACCGACCTTCTCTCCTTCCACCACATCGAACTCCACCGTCTCACCATCGCCAACACTGCGGAGAAACTTCCGGGGGTTGTTCCTCTTTATTGCCGTCTGTGGAGGCGGAAAACAAATTACTTTCCGTAGAACCAACACGGGGACCCCCAACACACGGGGACCCCCAACACACGGGGAACGCTTAGAAACTAGAGTGAGGACACCGACCTTCTCTCCTTCCACCACATCGAACTCCACCGTCTCACCATCGCCAACACTGCGGAGAAACTTCCGGGGGTTGTTCCTCTTTATTGCCGTCTGTGGAGGCGGAAAACAAATTACTTTCCGTAGAACCAACACGGGGACCCCCAACACACGGGGACCCCCAACACACGGGGACCCCCAACACACGGGGACCCCCAACACACGGGGACCCCCAACACACGGGGACCCCCAACACACGGGGACCCCCAACATTCAGCTATAAAACCAAAGTACTCACCTGATGGACAAAGACATCTTCTTTGGTGTCATTCCTGCAAGACGACAAATAAAGTTAATTCAAGAAACCAGCCGAGCGCAGAGCAGTGCACGCCGCGACATACCTGTTTATGAAGCCGTAACCGTTCCGCACATTGAACCATTTCACCGTGCCCTGCACCTGGGTGGCTGCAAAACAAGAACTGGTCAGACCTGGAACCACCAGCCTGCACCTCCCCAATTCTATACCCAGGCTCCTCCCATATACAGCCGAGATCCCCCCCATAGTACAGAGCTCCTCCCATATACAGCCGAGATCCCCCCCATAGTACAGAGCTCCTCCCATATACAGCCGAGATCCCCCCATAGTACAGAGCTCCTCCCATATACAGCCGAGATCTCCCATAGTTCAGAGCTCCTCCCCATAGTTCAGAGCTCCTCCCATATACAGCCGAGATCCCCCCATAGTAAGACTCTGAAAATACTGTGCACCCGACAGGCAGGAGACCCGTGTGAACCCCATCATGCACCCTCCACAGACCCATGTGAACCCCATTATACCCTACACAGGAAGACCCCATCAGCTGACCCCTAACATTCTATGCCTGAGAAAAGACCGCATACCCAGTGTGTGGCTTCATATTCATTGCACCATACACAGATAGGAGCCCCAACATGTGACCCCCCCCAAGGTGTGACCCCCCCAGTCACCAGTAGGATCAGCCTCTGCTTTGGGTAGTGAGCAATGTGCCCAATCAGACGCTGCCTGGAGCTATTTCTGAGCTCTGGGAAGGAATACGGACATTGTGACCTCAACATGGGAGACCTCTGACCTCAGAGGCCTGCTGCTGAGAAGGCGGCCTGGAGCCTCTGGCAAAGCGACGCCTGAAGAAGAAAGGAGGCGGGCGTCTACGTGGTGGTTGTTCCTGAGGGGACGCGCCCTCCGCCCTCTCCCCCTCGCTCAGGGGCTCCGAGTTCCCACCTTCTCCACCAGACCCGGCCACGTCCGCTCTTGGCCGAAAAGGACGCCTACGAAACCTGCGTCTGTTGGGGGCAAATCTGCTGCCCTTCACCGGAACACCGCCCGGGCCGGTCACATTGGCGGCTTCAGCACCCTGAATAGAGATGATGATTAGCATGTTGCCTCATCACACGCTTAGAAACTAGAGTGAGGACACCGACCTTCTCTCCTTCCACCACATCGAACTCCACCGTCTCACCATCGCCAACACTGCGGAGAAACTTCCGGGGGTTGTTCCTCTTTATTGCCGTCTGTGGAGGCGGAAAACAAATTACTTTCCGTAGAACCAACACGGGGACCCCCAACACACGGGGACCCCCAACACACGGGGACCCCCAACACACGGGGACCCCCAACATTCAGCTATAAAACCAAAGTACTCACCTGATGGACAAAGACATCTTCTTTGGTGTCATTCCTGCAAGACGACAAATAAAGTTAATTCAAGAAACCAGCCGAGCGCAGAGCAGTGCACGCCGCGACATACCTGTTTATGAAGCCGTAACCGTTCCGCACATTGAACCATTTCACCGTGCCCTGCACCTGGGTGGCTGCAAAACAAGAACTGGTCAGACCTGGAACCACCAGCCTGCACCTCCCCAATTCTATACCCAGGCTCCTCCCATATACAGCCGAGATCCCCCCCATAGTACAGAGCTCCTCCCATATACAGCCGAGATCCCCCCCATAGTACAGAGCTCCTCCCATATAAAGGTCCAGTCACATATAGTACATATCCAGCACACGGGACCGGTCACATATAGTACATATCCGGCACACGGGACCGGTCAAGACATTACCCAGCACTTTCTTGGCGACTTGGTTACGGTTGGGCACCGTGTCGGTTGGCGATACTTTCTCAGCCTCCTGAGGCTGTAGGGCCTCCTCGGGTCCCTGGGGCTCCACCTCCGTCATACTCGGTCGGGCTGCTGATACTGGCGTCGGTTCTAATTCGCCCCTCCCCCCACCTGTTACCGAGAGCCGAGTCCGGCCGGGGCCGTTCGCTTTATATACCAGTCAGTCGAGGCAGGGAGAATCCTGATTGGTAGACCGCCATGTCTATCAGAGCGTGTCGCCCGTTCATTGGTCGGCCCGAGACATTCCGCCTGCCGTCTGCTTGTGGCGGGAAAAAAAATAACATATTCCGAGAGAGGACTATTCGATATTCTTATTGGCCGCTGAGGGTCACATGCTTCTGGTCCGATGCGGTGATTGGCTGGATTTGGAGCGCTACAACTGCTGGAGTGGACTTCGTGGTCCAAGCTAGAGGAGCGGGAAGGGAAGGTGGTTGTCATGGGCAACGATACAGGCACCATAGACACAGATAGATGGAAGGTGTGTGTGTGTGTGTGGGGGATGGTGGTTCCTATGGTCACCAATGACTCCTCTATGTTCAGTCATGAGGATCCCCCCTCCCCCACCTTATGGGGTGACCCTCATTGGCCATAGAAGACCCCCCAATTCTGCCATTGTTGGCCTGGTGCAATGCTGTGTGCCTGGCTGTGTGCAGCACTCTGGAGTCAGTCTCAGAGTCAGCATGTGACAAGTGAAAGTCACCTCTCCCCCCCCCATGTATTTTTATATACTTTTCTTATTTAGAACCCTTCAGAAAGTCATGAAGTCGAAGGGTTCTCCTCCCCCGCTGTGGGCGGTCCTCTTCCTCCATGTGGGCGGTCCTCTTCCATGAGGGTTGTCCTCTGCCTCCATGGGGGCAGTTCTTTTCCTCCATGGGGGTGGTCCTCTTCCTCCATAAGGGTGGTCCTCTTCTTCACCTGCTGTGGGTGGTCCTCTTCCTCCATGGGGGCGGTCCTCTTCCTCCATGGGGGTGGTCCTCTTCAGGGCCTGCTTTGGGCGCCCTGTGCGAGAAAGCTTTACAGCGCCCCTCCGTGGCCACACCCCTCAGTGGCCACACCCACTCCCCCCATATCGGCACCATTTGAAGACTCCCATTTTGTGAAGCCGCAAAGAAACATATTACAAAGTGATACAAATAAAACTTTTATATACAGATAATAAACTTGTAGCACAATAGAAGAATTCTTATCACATATAACAATGGAGCGTCCGGTTGTCATGCCGATCCCTTTCTTCCAGTCAGTGTAACTAGAAAAGCAGAACACGGAACCGGACTCCGTGTAACATACATGAATCACCGCGTGTACGAATATACGTGACGTGTATTCCCAGACATCATAGTAATGATGATTTGTTTGAGAATGTGCGGCGGCCATGTTGGCCACCGGCGCGTTCTGCGAATTCGTGCCGCCATCTGTCTCCCGGGTCACCGGTCCCGCTCAACGTCCTCACACGTGAGGAAAAGAATTCGGCACCTCCATTGAACACGCAACAGTAAGTGAGGGCCCGTGCTGACGTGGGAGGAGCCTCGTACATGTACTTCATATAGACTCATGGGTTCAATCATCATCCATAGCACATACATGTAGTCGTACTACCGATCATTTAACCCCTTCATGTTAGCCGGGGATCATTGAAACTCTATGACTGCCGTGTACTGGACGTATGTAACATACATGTACTACATATAGAATACACTGCAGCAATAGATGTACAATGATCCCCGGCTGACATGAATGGGTTAAATGATCCGTAGTACGACTACATGTATGTACTATGTTACATGTTATGTACTACGGATCATTTAACCCATTCATGTTAGCCGGGGATCATTGTAACTATTACTGCCGTGTACTGGACGTGTGTCATGTATGTGTACTATGGATCATGATTTAACCTCTTCATGTTAGCAGGGCAGAATTGTAACTCTATTACTGCCGTGTACTGGACATGTGTCATGTATGTGTACTATGGATCATGATGTAACCTCTTCATGTTAGCAGGGCAGAATTGTGAGCTCCTCCCACAAGCTGAGCACCGAGACGCGATGCCGCGATCCGAGACTACAAGAGGCACCGCGTGAGGCTACGGGGATCGGAGTGACACTGTGAGTGAGGGAAGCTGGGACGGGGCTGGCTGTAAATCTATTGCTGTAGTGTACTGGACGTGTGTCATGTATGTGTAGTATGTAGTACATATATACAGCACACACCTCCACTACACTCCAGCAATAGAGTTACAATCCTCCCCCGCTAACATGAATGGGGTTCAATCATGATCCATAGTACAGAACATGTAGTTGTACTACGGATCATTTAAAGTCACCTGTCCCTTTAAGAAAAAGTATCGGTAATTGGTATCGGCGAGTACATGAGGGGAAGTACTTGTACTTGGTCCTGGAAAAAGCAGCATCGGGACGTCCCTAGTATTTAGTTTTCATTCATTTTTAGTCTTTGCACATGTGTAATAATACGTGCGTGACGAGTTATTTGCTGCGTTAGAGGGCTGGTAACCAATGAGAATCCGCGGCTACCATCCATTAATGTATCCCTCAGTATAGAGGCGGCCATTAATGTATCCCTCAGTATAGAGGCGGCCATTAATGTATCCCTCAGTATAGAGGCGGCCATTAATGTATCCCTGAGTATAGAGGCGTCCATTAATGTATCCCTCAGTATAGAGGCGGCCATTAATGTATCCCTCAGTATAGAGGCAATGTATCCCTGAGTATAGAGGCGGCCATTAATGTATCCCTGAGTATAGAGGCGGCCATTAATGTATCCCT